AACTCTCAAACCCCGTATTGTACGGGGTTTGGGAGTGGCGGAGGGTTCTTTGCGATGTATCAATTGAGCTGTCATTTAAACCTATGGGAAAGGATCGATAAACAGGGTGTTCGCAACGAACATCTTAATAATCGACTCTTTACCATATCTTCAAATGGGGAAATATCGATAGTCGATCATTTACGCCACGCCACTGCACGTATCTCGGTTTGCGACGCATGAAGACTTCTTGTCATACTTTATTTGTACATGAAGAATTATTCAGCGTCACCTCTTAAAAATTTTCGTGATTTTTTTACTCCGAACAAGGAAAATTCTATGGTAAGTTCAAGGGTCGACGTTAGTTTATTCTCTTTAAAAAATCCCATGAGAGAAGAGATTGTTAAGCACCGCAAACGAGGTGCGTGATTTGGAAGTTTCACCTTTCACCGTCGATGCTCGATGTGTATTTAGATACTTACAAGAAATTTTGGTGTTAATTTTACAAAATTTTCAATTTTTATTCTTTTCAGAGGTAGACGAGAGGAAAATAAAATTTTGAGGAGATAAACGTTGAATATGTACACATTTACTGGTGCAGGCCAGTAATTTATTTTATGAAGATGCTAGAAAAAGAAATTTAAAGGTGATAAACAAAAATTTAAAAAATTGAGAAACTTCATATTTGCATTCAAAATTTTGAAGTGAAGGCCCCCTCCTCTGCGCTGGGAGGTGTTTTCCAAGCTCCAGAATAAACTGAATCGAGTATATTCACCCCTGAATTCATAATTTCCTCTCATTGAAGTTTGAGGCTCCCATTTTCCTACACCATACTGTACGTATATTATGAAATCATGAGGGTAGCGTGTCACGCTAATCCTGTTACAAACTGTTTCGCCTCCCTCTCCATCTTCCTCCAACTTCACTTCCGCTCCACCCTTTCTCCGGTTCCCGATTTCCCTCACTTTTACCTAATTTAACTACCTAATTAATTCATTAATTATATTATTATTTTTTATGGTTTTAACCTAATTTTACCTAATGAAACCACCAGTTTAAATTCGTACTCCATTGAACCCAGCTTCCCATTTCTCTTACATTTGCAATGACGAATAATAAAATTAGAGACGCAGCCCCTCGTTTTCTTATAAATCCCTAAATCATGGAAAAATTTCTAAAAACCAACATTTTTTACAAAAAATTTCTTGAGTGTAAATAAAAGAAGGTTCAAAACTTCCGCTACTCTTGCATTCACTTACTGGGAAAAAAAACACAATAGATCTAGAGTCCAGACTCTTGAAAGCATTGATAAGAAAAAATACTCTTGATTCAATCGGATTTTTGCTTGAATCAAAACGAAATCCGCTTCAATTAAGAGGCTTGGTTCTTGATTTGAGCTAGATTCTGATTGAATCAAGAGTTCTTTTTATTGTCGATGTTTTTAAGAGTCTGGACTCTAGATCCAATGTGTTTTTTCTTTCCAGTGCTCTCATTACATATCGACGGTGAAACTACCAAACCACGTATCTCGGTTTGCGACGTCGCAGACTTCCTGTCATACTTTATTTTTTAAATGAAAAACTACTCAACATCCAGTCTTGAAAATTTCTGTGATTTTTCCACTTTGTGCGGAGAAAATTCCGAGAAAATTTCAAGGAATGATATTCATTTGGTCTACTTCAAAAAAATAAAATGCGAGCGTAGATTTTTAAACACCGCAAACGAGATACGTGGTTTGGTAGTTTCACCGTCGATATTCGCGAGGGTGTTCTCGCAGGACATCGCTGCGTTCGTGAACACTGATGAGAACACCGGCCTCGGTTGAAATCTCGCGGGCGAGCACGCTTGTTTGGGTTCGGGGATCTTCTGCCGTATTAAAATCGAGTGGGTCGCGTCACGAATGAAATTTCACGAGTGAAAGGGCTCGAGGACCCGGCGACGACGATAAAAATGCTCCGGGCGAACGTTAACTTCACCCGTGCGAAGAATCGAGCATTTGCGGAACAAGATTAGAACCAGACGAGACGGAGGGCCGGAGGGGAAGGGTTGCGGGCGGAAGCGGAAATGGGGTCGGATTTGGGAGTCGGGGAGTGCACTCGGCGCGGTGCGGTGCAGAGGTGAATATTTTGAATGCACCGAAGGGGCAGGGGAAC